CCATGGGTTGGTTGTTCTCACTGTCAGAAAGTTCCTCCTTATTTCTAGGTTGAATTTTTCCTTGTTCAGTTTGCATCCATTATTCCTTGTCTGGCCTTCAGGTGCTTTGGGAAATAGCTACACTCCTTCCCCTCCGTGGCAGCCCCTCAAATATTGGAAGACTGCTCTCATGTCTTCCCTGGTCCTTCTCTTCGCTAGACCAGCCACGCCCAGTTCCTGCAACCGTTCATCATATGTTTTAGCCTCCAGTCCCCTAATCATCCTGGTTGCTCTTCCCTGCACTTTTTCTAGAGTCTCAACTTCAAACAGTTGCTAATGAATAGTTGTAGGATTTCCTGTGGAATCCAAATTAAATATCTGAAAATTTGGGGGCGGGAGACAAAAGGCAAAGGGCAATTTTTTGACAGTTCCTGGTCATTGAATAACTAGAGCTTAACATTTTTCTTTCACTTCAACCAACCCTTTAGGATCACATCTATAGACCGGAAGGAAAACAACCTTTCTATGTTTTTTCCCCCAAAAAACAGGGGAATGTAAAGATCTGGAGTCATGCAAACAGTGCATTGAAGGTTCTCCTTCCCAGAATATTACAAACTGCATTTGGAAACACTGTCACGAATCGCATGAGAAGCCAGGTAAGCCAGTGGTGGGATTCAATTTTTTTTTACTACCGGTTCTGTGGGGGTGGCTTGGTGGGCGTGGCATGGGAAGGATACTGCAAAATCCCCATTTCCTCCTGATCAGCTGGGATCTCGGGAGGCAGAGAATAGATGGGGGCGGGGCCAGCCACGGTTCTCCAAACTACTCAAAATTTCCACTACCGGTTCTCCAGAACTGGTCAGAACCTGCTGAATTCCACCTGTGAGGTAAGTCAATAAAAAAAAATGCTGGCCAAATATTTCCATTGCCTACTTCCTTTTACCATTATTACCACTTTACCGTTATTGCATCAATGCTCAGGATACAATTTTACACCTCCCTGCTGCTCTTGGATACCAACCCCATGACAACATACATATAATGTTGCTAGGTTTTGTGCAGCAGCACCCAAAAACTACGTCACAAGATGACCTGTGCCATAAATTAGTTTTAGTGACTATTTTAAGACCATTATTAGAGAGTGCACGTTTCTGTCTTATCAGCACAGGCTTGAATTTTGGTCAAAGTTTACCGGCACCTTCTCTAAATTGAAATGCTGCTCCAAATGGTCAAGGTTCAGGTCACCAATCTCCAGAATTGATGGATGCTGTAGAATAGGAATGGAATGGGAATGGAACAGTGGTGGGTTCCAGATCCCATTGCAACCGATACAGTTGCAACGGGGCCCGGCATCCTCCACATGAACATGTGCGGTGCGCGCACACACACAGGCAGTGTCTGTGATGCCTCTGCAAGCCTCCACGATGCTCCAGCTGCTTGACGGAGTGTCGTGCAGGCACTGTACGCGCCATGCACATGTGCAGAAGCGCCGAATGCTTTAAAGGACAGGTGAGTGTGGGCGGGCAGGCAGACCCTCCAGAGCACTGTATTGGAATGGTACCCAGTCCTTCGGGCAGGCTCTGGTACACCCGCACTGGAGCATACTTCCAGCAACCGACCACTGGAATGGGAATAGGAATAGGAATAGGAATAGAATAGAATAGAATAGAACAGGACCTTGGGGGTCTTCTAGTCCCACCCACTGCTTAGGCAGGAAACACCACAGAGTGATAAATGGTTATCTAGTCTTGTCTTTAAAACTTCCAGTGTTGGAGCATTCACAACTTCTGGAGGCAAGTTGTTCCACTGATTAATTGTTCTAACTGTCAGGAAATTTGTTCTTGTTTCCAGGTTGAATCTCTCCTTTTTCAGTTTCCATCCATTATTCCTTGTATGGTGTTCAGGTGCTTTGGAAAATAGCTTGAGCCACCCCCCCCCCTCCTCTCTGTGGCAGCCCCTCAAATATTGGAAGACTGCAGTCATATTCCCCCTGGTCTTTCTCTTTGCTAAACTAGCCTTGCCCAGTTCCTGAAACCGTTCATCGTATGTTTTAGCTTCCAGTCTCCTGATCATCTTTGTTGCTCTTCTCTGCACTTGTTCTAGACTCTCAACCTTCTTTTTTTACATCGTGGCGACCAAAACTGGATGCAATATTCCAAGTGTGGCCTTACCAAGGCATTATAAAGTGGTGTTAACACTTCATGTGATCTTGATTCTATCCCTCTNCTTAAAGTTGGTGGCTGAGGAATTCTGGGAGTTGAAGTCCATAAGTCTTAAAGTTGGTGGCTGAGGAATTCTGGGAGTTGATGTCCTCAGGCCTAAGCATTGGTGGCTGAGGAATTCTGGGAGTTAAAGTCCACAAGTCTTAAAGTTGCCAAGGTTGGAGACCCCTGCACTAACAAATGCATAAAGAGACATAGAAGAAAATGTAGACCAAGAATTGGAGGCATGCAGATTAAGGAGATACTGTACC